CCCCTCCTTTTCCTCCCCACACCGCCAACCTTCTGATATTTTGCGCGTCCGTCGTGCGACTCGGCTACCCTGCTCGCCACTTCGCACTGCTCGCTGCGGCCCCGCCGAGGACTTTTAACAGCGCTCATCATCATCATATCATAGGGTACATGGCGTCGACCGGCGTGCCTCCCGTGGGGTTCTTAACCATAAATTAAAGCGTACACCGTTTTTTTCTGTTTTTTCCTTTATTTTTCTGTTATTTGATATTTTCTGATTTTTGCGTGTTTTTTCTGTGTTTGTTTTTTTGATTTTTGTGGAGTTTGTACACTGCCATTTCTTTAGTTTACCTGTCGCACCTGACTCACCTTTGTCGCCTCTGTTTGCAGCGCCCCAGATGGCCGCCCGGGTCGCGGTCAGTACGCCGCCCCCAGCCCCGGCCCCGCCCCCGGCGCCGCCGCTTGCGGGCCGCCGCCCGGGCCGCCCCCTGGAGGGCCGGCCGCGCGAGCCATGATGCCGTCGCGGGCAGGCAACAGCCCGACCTCCAGCGCCGCCCCCAGGCTCGCCCCGCGGCAGCGGCCCGCCCCCGCCCGGACGGCCGCCCCCGGCAGGGCGCCGGCCCCGCAACAGCAGCAGCAGCAGCAACAGCAGCAACAACAGCACACCAAGAACAGCGGCAAGGCGACCTCAAAGACCAGCGGCAAGAACAGCAAAAACATCTACTCGTACCTGCAGGTCAGTCTAGGGATTTGACTTTCTCCAAAAGTAATTTTAGAAAAATGTTCTTAAAAAAATTACTTATTTTTTGTAAAATGTCATTTTTTCAAAAATTTTCCGCGGAAAAGTTTCTCCTCTCTCGGAAAGATTTCGCACTCTGAACCCCCTGGCCAGAGCACTGGGTGGGCCGCGCGCTCCGCACCCCTGCTCGGCGGGTGGCCTACCCCGCCGTCCGCAGGCGCTTCGGGACCTCTGGACGGCCGCGCCGCGCCGCACTCCGCGACGAATGCCGCGTCCCGTCCGTGTGTGGGAAGGCCGGGCGACAAAACGGCCAACAAACTGGCAACATGTGTTCGCGGCGCGCGCCTCTCGCCTCGCGCCTCCTCTAGAGGCCGACACTTTCTCCGCGAGATGTTATCATCGGCGAGGTGCTGCCGCGAGGGAGGCGGCCGTCGCGTCGCCCAATCATTATGCCGTCACATGCGCGTCCCCGACCCGACCACACCCGCGGCGGCGCAGCCTGTCGCGGCCGGGCGCAGCTAGCAAACAATTGAATGAGTGTCGCGTCTGTCTGTCCGTCCGTCTGTATGTCTGTCTGTCTGTCTGTCTGTCTGTCTGTCTGTCTGTCTGTCTGTCTGTCTGTCTGTCTGTCCGCGCGTCCACCGGTTTACATCCCGGGCGAAGGGGCGTATCTCCTCGCTGAGCGCGGGATGGCCGCCAGAACACGGAGCAGCAGGCAGCAGAACCAGAATTTAGGGCCATAATCGGGAGATATGCGGGCAGCGCTGCGCGGCGACCCGAGCGAGGCGGAGGTGGAGGGAGGGAGGGGGCATCGGCCGGAGTGGGAAAGGGACGCCCGCTCCGCTGTCGTCCCGCCCGCTTATCTGATTCGGGAGCCATCTGCAATTATAGCATCGTTTTGGAAGACGTAAATTCCTTTGGTCGCCGGCTACGCTGCTACGCCGCCGCGACGACGTCTTTCCTTCCCAACCGAACCGAGACGTCCGCCGCCGCGGCGCCGCCCCGCCTGTGGGACTCTACGGCTGCGTGGCTTTGGCTGAAGCCCCGCCGCTCCCCGCCCCGCCACGCCTTGGCGGTGTTGTCTCCTGGTCTCCACAGTCGCACTAAGTGCCCGCCCCACCGCGCCCCACCCTGCTCCGCCACGCCCC